AGAGAGAGAGAGAGAGAGAGAGAGATCAGGTTGTACATAATTACCTTCTCAACAGGATGCAAGAGCAGTGTCTGTAAAAGAAGTGTAACAGAATCTCGCCTTCTTTTCTGTACGACTAAACGCGCAGTATTGTTTAAAGAGTTTAAAGTCGCTTCGCATTCTCTTGAGATATCCCTGGCAACAAAGAAGTGCATTAACAAAGTCGTGATAAAACTAAACCATTCATTAATATTCAAATGACGCAACCATTTTTTTTTCTTGAGAATGAATTTTCTGATTTTCTTGAGAGTTGTCAACTTCATAAACAAACTTTGCACTGCCTGCCAGAATGACTTCTGTCTTATCACAAATTTAGTTTTTCACTGTGACAATATACTTTTCAGCACTAAGGACAAGTTCATCTAATTTGGTAGATATTGTTAAACCACCAATTAGGGCATTGTCAGCATACGTTAAGTCATACTTGACTGGACACAGCATCATCAAGGTTATTTTGAAAATAATATGGCTTCTTATCCAAATTCATATGATTCAGACCCATTCATAGTCATATATTGTTAGCAGAGCTATAAGAGTAATGTATACCACACCGTGTCGTACTATACCTTACCATATAACACCATCTCATAACCTACCATAACATGCCAAAAAGCTGCTACGATGGTCTGCGGGAATTCATAATGCTATTGAGTAATATGTGAACAAAGGCCACGTTAATCGTAGGTCATAGTCAAAGTATAAGCGACTGGCTCGAAAGGTCTTATCAAATCTAACAAGCAGCCATCCTTGGTTGTAAGCGTGGCCGCTAAGTTGATATGTTGATACTGGCAGCTTAAAGTGTTGGCCTAACTGCTAGTTAGAGTGAAACCTATACATCACATTTGTTCTGTTTTACGATACTCTGGGGGTCCGGTCACTGATTCTATGATACATTTCAACATAATAATGCCATGGTATAAATTTTAAAAGTTATGTTCTCTTAGTTCGTTCACATTGATAACGTTGTGCTTGAAAAACTGGCTATGGTGGTGTAGTTCGTTTATAACCAACACAAGTCAGTTCTAGGTTTGAATCCCATTGACGTCAGACATTTATTTTCAACAGCCATAGAGGGACTTTCATTTCATACGGGCGTTCTGATTTGGAGGGGAGAGGAGGGGGGCGG